ACCTTAGTGGGTCCTAAAATGCATGTTGTTGAAGCTAAGATCTCCAGTAACATCCTTCCTTGCCTCACCAGATCCAAATTTGCTTTTCAAACACAGCTGCTGTTTTCCCAAAGTTTGTAAAATTGATAAATACCTGTTTTTGGCCACTTGTTTTGTTACAATTGTGTACCTCGCTCACAAGATATCTCCTTGTCAATGCTAGACTTTGAAAAAACTTAATCATTCCCAGCTGTTACTTTACAGCTTTCAATACATTTTGTTAGAAGCATATATGTACTGGTCAAATGTTTTCTTAAATTAATACCACCTGATGTAAATTACTTTCCAGCATTTCCACAAAATCCACATATTTTGATGAAAACACCTACCCAGTCTTGCTTTCAGCCAGGATGGGCCAATTCCTTTTCAAACCAGAAGACAGGTATTCAAAAAATCAGCTGAAGATCACCATTATCTTATACATAAGCACTGTAACATTCAATCAGCTGACAAAACCTGCTCCCATTTGTGACAAAATGTATAGGTACAAAGTATGTGCTACTTTTAATGAATTACCTAAATATGAAGTAGAAACAAGTGAGGGAAAATCAGTCCAGCCTGCTGATGCTGACAGAGGGAATGGCACCATGGATTTTTGGTTTGGGGGGAGGATATCCAAGGGGCCTCCTAAGCAAAATGGGGCTGCCTCACAGGGGGCCTCATGGGCAATGTTGTCTTGAAAGTTGAAGGGAAAGGAAAATTGCAGGCATAAGTTCTTTTACCAAACTGTTATAAGCATTATATCCAGGTAAATAGATGTTGACAATAAAACAAACAGGACCTTATAATTTTGTAACAAAGGGCATTGGTACCATACAACATGGCCTCCTGGCACGTGAAGGGCCTTGTCACCAAGAACAGCATACTTTCAATCCACAAAAGGGGTCTTCAAAGTTCAAGGAGATCCTGATTTGGAACTGCTGCCATCTACCCGTCTGCCGGCAATGGGAGGGGGGGGGGGGAGGGGGCGGGGACAGCCCTATGCCCTATGACAGCCCTATGCCATTGCTGCGCCGTCCCTGGTTGAAAGCACCCTGATTTTGACCTACGCCTCGTCTCTGGCCAAGTGTACCTATTTAATGAAATGACTTTCATTGATCTGTGACTCGATTCGACATGCACATACCTTCATGCACGCACAATATGCACATACCTTCAATCCTCATTTTCCGCGCACCACATCCACCCTCACCCGCACCTCGACACGCCCGGCGTTCAAAACCGCGCGTCGGTGCGGACACGGTCGCAAACGCAGGCGAGTGCGCATGCGCAAACGTGACGTCATGAATCTGACTCGATTTACATAGTGGTGCGGTTGTGTGTAAATCGACTCGGATCCGACGTGATTTACACAGAAGGGCCGTTTTCAGTAAATCGACTCATGAGTCGATATACACGCTCCCAATACATAAACACATATCCTTCACTTGTATGCCGTATGTCTATACCTTTGAAAATGGAATATGTAATGCTGAAACCCTAGTACAATCAATAGATGTCAAACATCAACGATCTACTTTTCAGTCTCAATAATGAGCGGAGAGCCATAATCAGAAAACTCGAGCAAGGACAGAAAAAGCCTGTAAAATTTTCGTGCGCCAGGATCTTTAGCAACTCTTGCATAGAAAACAATTCACTGTCTACATATACCAATATATGTAAATATTTTGGAATATATATATATATATATATATATATATATATATATATATATATATATATATATATATATATATATATATATATATATATATATATATATATATATATATATATATATATATATATATATATATTGAAAGCCCGGATCATAAGTCGACAAATCCAAGAAGTTTTTCGCGCCTGTCCCTTATGGTGACTTTCGAGACTTTGGGCCTTCCAATTATTTTGAGAAATCAGTGCCCGTGCCGTCAGCTTCGAGCGCGGTTTTTCACTACGACACCACTAAATATATTACTGGAACCTGGTGATCGGGAACACTTTTTTGGTTTTAAATCTGAAAGGCGCTACCATGAGTAGCGACATGAAGGCCCAACAGTCGTAGGTACTTACGTAACAAGACTAGTGAATAGTCGAGTGGATATATACGATACGCAGCTTAAACAGTTATTTGAGGTGCCAGAGCAAGCCAACATATATAGCTCATTGATATGCCTCTATGCCTCTAAGACAGCGTAATGAGCCCAAAAATTTCCCCCAACAACACTTTTTCAATCAGCAAAAAATGAGCTTCGTTGGCTTATGGACTCTATATTTTTGCTAACAATGGTTCTTGGTCGTCTGTAGGCCTAAAGGCATCCAATTTTATTGTGTTTTGTTGTAAGAAAGCTGCGTTCGTCCTGCCGGTTGTGAGCCCTTTCGGAGCCTTCAGGTCCCTCGGCATGGTCGATGGAGCATGGTTCCGTGCCTCCACCCCACCCCTCCCCCACCCTCTGCATCCGCCATCGGGCCGAGCAGCTGAATAGATGGGGCCTACCAAGAACTTAGGGCCATCCACACAAATAAGAAATACTCGCGACGCAATGTGCAGGGTTCTGAACGATCGAATGCGCCCGAGTGGGTTAACATATAGGGCCCACGTCAAGAGCTTAGAGCAGTCCATTCAAATAGGAAGTATTCAAGACCCAATGCAGAGGACCCTCGCCTGATCCAGTGCGTCAGAACAGATTAACATATAGGGCTCCCCGTCAAGAGCGTAGGGCCCTCCATTGGAATAGGAAGTACCCAAGAACCAATGAAGAGGGCCCACGAATAATCGAGTGTGCCCGAGTAAGTTAACCAATAGGGCTCCCAACAAGAGCGCAGGGCCCTCCATTCGAATGGGAAATTCCAAAGATTTTAATCTTTAGAAGTTTAGAAGATCTTATGTAAATGACCGCAGAATGATGGAATGTGCCCGTGCATATTATTAAAAGGGGTCCAACGAAGCGTAAAGCCTTCCATTGCAATAAAAAGGACCCATAACCCAGTGCGGAGGGCCCCCGAAAGATGGAGTATTCCCGATCAGATCATCAGGTGGCCTAGACAGGAGTGCAGTACCTTAAATTCAAAAACCAAGACCCAATATGTACGGCCCCCGAACAATCCAGTGTAGCCGAGGGGGCAAACAGATGGGGCCCCCGACAAGTGCGTAGGGCCCTCTGTTCTGTTAGGAGGTAGCCAAGACACAATGTACAGGGCCCCCGGATGTTCGGGTGTGCCCGAGCAGGCTAACAGATGGGAGCTCCGGCAAGAGCGTGGGGCCTTCCACTGAAATATGAAATACCCACAACACGAAGAAGAGGGTCCCGAATAATTGAGTGCACCTCAGCAACTTACCAGATGAGGTCCCCGAAAAGAGCAAAGCGTCCTCCATTTAGGAAGAAAGTACCCAGGATCAAGTACAGTTGTCCCCCACGATCGAATGGGCCCGAGCATCTTATGAGGAGGGGCCCCGACAGGAACGTAAGGCCCTCCATTCAAATAAGAGGTACCCAAAATCGGTGCGGAGGGCCCCCGAAAGATGGAGTGTACCCGAACAGATTATCAGATGACCCCGATGGGAGCAGAGGGCCCTAAGTTCAAACATCAAGAACCAATGTGCAGGCCCCCTCCCCCCCCCCCCCCGAACAATCCAGTGTGGCCGGGGAGGCAAACAGAGGAGCCCCCCAACAAGTGCGTAGGGCCCCACTCAAACAGCACGCGCCAAAGGCCCAATGAAGAGGGCCCCGAACGATCGAATGGACCCGAGCAGGTTATCAGATTGCCCCCCCCCCCCCCACAAGAGTGTAAGCCCTCCCCACATTCAGAAAAGAAGTACCTAAGACCCAGTGTGGAAGGTCCCCAAACGACTGAATGCGCCCAAGCAGACCATCAGATCGGCCCTCGACAAGAGTGTAGGGCCCTAAGCAAGTGAGAGAGAATTGGAAACGCCCTAGATCCATGTAGAGGGCTCATGAGCGTATTGCAAGTGCGTCGGTACGTTAACCGAGACCTACGTAAAGGGCCCCTGAGCAACCGAGAATACCCCGACAGGTTACAATATGGAACCCCGGTTATAGCTCACAGAGCCCTTCTGGCGAATGGAAAGAATCTGTGTGAGGGACCGTAATTGACAAGAGTGCCCCGGCACGCTTACAGGGAGGGCCTCAACAACAGCGCAGGACCCTCCGAGCAACTGCAAAGAAATGAAGGACGGCGTGAAATGCTCCTTAACGATCGAAATGATCCTGCAAGTGGGCACGTACATGCCCTGGAAACAGTGTGGGCTCCTCGACTGTGTAAAGAGGCTTGAAATTTTCAGTTTATGACTTTTCCAACCACTGAATATTTTTTTTTTTTTTTTTTGCTTCTCATAGCCCTTCACTTTCGCTTACAACTGTTTTTGGTCACCTGGAAGTCCAGAAATACCCAGTTTTCTTACGTTTTATGGTTTTAAAAACTGCATCTTTTCGGTCGGCCATGGGCCCCTCAGAGCCAATGGGCACCTTCGGGGCTCAAGGGGGGGCCATGGCCTCGTGCCCCACTTCTGGATCTGCCCCTGTCCAAGTCGATACCGGCAAAGAAAGATGAACACCCAAAGTGATACATACCTTGAGCTCATTGCTTTTTGGCCTCATGATAATGATTCCTTTTTCTAACGGTAAATCACCTTCAATATACCGGACTCCACCACCAAACAAGCATTGGCGAAAAAAGGATGGACATCGGCTAAAAAAACTAGACATTCCAGGCAGTCGAATATTTCAAGAGCTTAGCTTGTTCGGTGGTGTTCGCTCCAGCCAGGCCTATTTTGAGCTAAAAAATATCGGTTGAGCTTTTTCTGTTTGCCTTTGCATGTCATGTGGATATATTTACGTCTATCTGTCAATATTAGTGAATATTGCACGATAAAAGACCATGCAGCACTTTAGTGACGATCGCTACTTGTAGCTCGTGCGCCATTAATGTAGTGATGGGGTGTTTTTATTAGGCTAAGGCAATATACGCCCGTCAGGAACCAGTTTCTGGTTGATTTTGTTGAATTGCGGCGTCCTGGGAAGGACGTAAACCCATCCACAGTCTACTTCAGTTCAAGTAAAGTCGTGCAGGATTGCGGTAACCTCCTAACCACCTGTTCACTTACCGCCTCACGAAACAATAAGACATGTCCCATTGGTTCCACAGAAATGGCCTGAAGGCTACGGGCCATGTTAATTTTGATTTGAAGCTCTTTGCGTCTGAACCGGAATCCTTGAAAATATGCAGGTGGGTACAGAGTGGTGACCCTCATGTAAACAGGATGATGATTTTTATTCAGTCATATGTAGTTGGGTCGTATGCTTGCTAATGACGCGTGCCCAGATATTTTGATATTGATAAGTGGACTTGTGGTTCATTCCGGTCTTTCATAAACCAAGTTAGCTTTGTATTGACAAAGTATTGTTAATTTTTTCTCATCTAATTATGCAGTAATCAAATGACATCAATGACTCATGTATGAAATGGGCAGTATGATTGTGACATTGCTGGGTACCTATTGATAATATAATAGTATTGTGTGAGATGGTCTTTTGGTGCCATCATATATATTTTATATATGATGGCACCAAAATTTCTTTACATGCATTTCTCATATGCCACTTAAAACCATACATGAATATCTTCAAGTGACACATGAGAAGTGTCCTGATGATCAGCCATCTCAAGTATCTAGTTCAAGACATCAGTCCTCTAACACTTACAAATTTGAAGGCTTTTAAGGAGCATGGAATGCCCTTTTTGAAACACTAGCATGTGAAGAAGTTAAGCACCACTATGCACAGTGTTTCTTATGTAAACTCTGCCTCAGCATCAAGCATGATGCTTATGTGATAGAAGAGGGATTTTCTGCTTTGAGCTGTGTTAATGCATACTTTAGGATTTTGCTGGGACACATTGCAGGTAAGAATTATAGCTGTAATGGATGTTGTTGATACTAACTGACCTATATTTATAAGCACCTTTTGATATCAATCAATCCAGAAAAAGCTATAGGTCTGTTTCCAATGTATGGGAAAGGATGAGTCAAGCTGAGCTAAAGTCACCTTCCTGTCCAGCACATCCTGAAAAAGGTTGTCTCTTAATATGTGTTACCTGATGAGTAAAGTGAACAGGTCATTAAAATGTGACTCAGTATGGTGCAAATGGCCTGACCTAGTGTTGTCCAGTTGTGCTCACATCTGTCATCTGTACATTTGCTGTGGGTCATGTCAGGCTAACTCATCCAGTATGGTTTCAGGATTCCTTAGAGTTTAATGGGAATATACTTAATCATCTTTATACAAAACTATGCTTCTGTGGTCTAATTATCTTTTGTAATGTCATTATAATTGGCACATTTGATTTTCATTATGGGTGCAAAGTGACTTTTGCAGTTGATGTGCCTGAAAACACCAATGAACAACAAAAAGTTGCACACTTGATTGGTGCTTGCTTTTACTCTTAACATGTTAAAAAACTTTCAAAAAAGCACATTAAAATTTTATAAAAAAGTTCAGGAGAATCCAGCATAAATGTCAATGTGTGACCTGGACAGGCTGTCCATAGGAAACATAAACAGGCAGTCCAGGCTGGACATGGAGAGCATATGAGTCATATGCTCCCCATTTTCAGGAGACTGGACTGCCTGTCATATGATATGACTGCCTATGGGCATTAACCTGCATGGCCAGGGTCTATGTTTGAAGATCACAACAAGCTTAAAAACAAACCCTGACATCAGGTTCAGATCCTAATACACTGTCATTGCAGAACATCAGCCCAACAGATCTTGGAGGCAGAGACTGCCATCCACACTGGCCAAAGTGTGTGTTGATGCCCTCAGATGCACTCATGGTTTCTCATGTTAACTATGGATCTATCCATATAGGGGGAGGGGGCTCATAAGGAATGACGTCAGCTTTCAGTCACTGCGGCAGATAAAAATGTAAAAGCTGCTAAACAGTGCTAAACATGCTGGCTACAACTCACTGACACCATAGAACTGTCCAACCCAGGTGCACTAGCAACCAGCTAGAAACCAGCAGGTATCACCTTTTTCAAAACCTACCTTCAATGCTAGATACTTTGGTCAAAATCAGAAGAGTCTGTGTTCTTCAAACCAAGGCAGCAGACAACAATGTTTTTGTGACTAATTCACTGAAATATTTGTTATGTGGGTAAAAAGTGGTTGGCAACTAGTAGAACTGTGATAAACCTGAACATATTCAATTTTGTCATGCAGAATTTGCATGTTTGGCTACCATATATCCAGCCCAGTTTGAGCAGTGATATTCACCAACTGGTGCACAAATGCATCATCAGTGGGCTCCCTTGTGTTAAAATCATGAAAGCCAAATGTTGTAATGCACGTAATTTTTGTTTCAACATGCTGGTGGTCCCCAGAGGTGTCCAGCTCCATTAGCCTGGTTTTTGGTGACATGTACCCTTTGGTTTATATCCATGATTTCTGATCACCTCTGTGCCTGTGCTGCACAAGTTGCCTTACGCCTCACTGGCCATGGCTACTAGTCAATTGCTTCAATAAATCAGCAGTCTGTTTTCTCAGCAATCATTATGCTTTGATTGTCCAAACAGCAAATGCAACACACTTCAGTGAGAGGTTTCCCATGTCACCTACCCTAATGGCAGATACCTGTATTTCTGTCTGTTACAAGGGGTTCTGTGTACATCAAGACTGTGCTCTGTATTCTGTAAGGTCCGCCGAAGGTCCGCGCGTGTGTTGGGCCGAAGGTGGGCACTGCTCGCCTGCCCGTCGTCCCAGCCGACTGAGCCGGCGTTGTTGCAGCGAGCTGCGCCAGGCTCGTCACCGTCTGCTGGAGCTGCTGCCGGACGCCGGCCACCAGTGCCAGGAGTTGGAGGCGGCGCTGAACAGCTACCTGGCGCTGCTCACTGGCTTCCTGCAGGCACCGGACCAGCCGGACCAGCAGAGCAAGCTGCGCCACGTGGTCCGCTTCCGCTGGACGCACACGCTGCTGGGCAACACGCCAGAGTGAGTGGGCCCCTACCACCGGGGCCCCGGGGCGGGACCCCACCGCGGTTCCGTCCCTCTGCCTCCGGCGGCCTCACTGGGCGCTGGACGGCGGGGATGGCTGGTCAGATTGATACCGAGTCGGACGGCCGTGCCTCGGCCGCCTCCCTGCAAGGGAAATTACTCACACACATCAACATTCAGAAATGTCATCCCGATTCATTGTCATATTGGTTGGTCAATCATGTGCGATTTATTATAAGTCAAAGTTATGGTGCTAAATGTTAGGCATAGCTTGGCATGTTACCTAATGATGGTGATACCCTCGATTCCCACCGCCTGAGTGGCATGGGCTTCAATCCTGCCGGACACAGCGCTGCTGTCTACTGGTGATGGTGTGGGTGGTGTGGCTGTCTGGGTGACGGGCAGGATGGTGAAGCAAGTCGCTTGCGTTTTCCTGACACGAAATTATGCGACAGGCTTTACAGCGCCACCTGGCCCGGGGTGAAACCTCTCCCAAGCTGTGAAGCGGGTCATGATAGTGGTGGGTCGTCAAGGGCTTAACTAAGGTCCAGCAGTATCTCCAAATTCTCAACTCTTAAACTGTCCGACCCGAGGGAATCGATTTAAACCAGCAGATTTCAACCGTTTCCAGTGTTGTCGACATTGTCGTACAATGTGTTTTTTTAATAGCGATTTTTCGGCTATTTATTCTCGACATGTTCTTCACCACGTCACGCCGACTGGTCTGTTTCTTTCAGGGCGCAAAAGGATGCCGTCTTCGAAGTCATCTGTATTTGTCAGAATGTCGCTGTTTGGTACATGAAGCGGGCCGCAAAAATCGCCGGAAAGGAGGAGTAAGTGTTAATGTTCTCCTATCTGTGCCACTGGCACGGTCAAGCAAAGCTGTGACATACCTGAGCCTGTTATTGAAGTGCTTAGTTGTGTTACACGTTGTCGGGCTGCATGCCATTTACACCTGTTACATTGGCATATCCGTATATTCGCTGAGAAATGACTACCCGACACCAAGTGGCTGATGAGATTGTCTCCTTGCTTGAGTATGCAATAACGTGAGCAGTATTTCGTGGATTGTCACTGCTCAGCACAGAAAGTAAACAAGTGCCGTTTTTTTCTCCGCGGAGAAGAGTTTTAAGCGTTATCTGGTGACCCGACCTGAATTTAAAGCTCTACTTAAGCTGAGTATAAAGTTAGCCAGGTGTCTGTTCTTACGTCACTTGACCCAGTGGTCCCCCATTCATGTTTTGGTTGGGCTCTCACATCGAAAATTGGCCCTCGCGACTTTGGATTTGCCGTGTTGCACAATGCAAGCGACTCTGTTTGTAATGTCACAACTTTACAAAACTGAGGGTCACATTAGGGGACGTCGGTGCTCAATCAATCAATCAATCAATAAGTTTTTCTAGTAACCTCCGCAATGCGACTAGTCTGGCTGTGCTTCACGTTTTGCAGGTGCGCGCTCACGCACGCATGCACGCACGCACGCACGCACGCACGCACGCACGCACGCACGCACGCACGCACGCACGTGCACAGATTATGACAAGAAAGCACTAAAGCACACGATGCACATTCACACGGTATGTTGGAGCGGTGGCCGAGCTGGCCGGGTACAGGCACTCGGCCCCGCCCATCGCGTGCCACCACAGGAGATCCGCAGCCCAGCGGCGGCAGTCCGGGAGCAGCCCGGAAGGCAAAGCTGTTAAGGGCCATCTCCGGGCGCGCCCCCGGCAGCTCTAAACGGCTGTCATTGTTGCCACGCCTGATGCGGGCTGACACTGCGCCGCGGTACAGCACAGGCTCCCTTAGAGATGTCCGTGAGCTATGCATTACCGCCAGGTCACGCTCAGCTGACAGGTTGTCACTGTTTGTCGTTTTAACTCGGCTAGGACGTGAGAAACATGACCATAGCGGCGAGTGCCTTTCACCATACGCGCACAGTGGTTGGCGCTTTTTTGAAGCGGCGCCGCCGGGCGTCGCTGCAGCTTCCTCGCACGGTCGAGCAATAGAGCGAATTTAGAAAGGTCAAACCTTTGACTAGCCTCTTCGACGCTGTCGAAGGCTGTAGATGTATCAATCGGCTCGAGAGAGGCATCGTCGCGAAGGGCGCGGCCGTCTCCGTGAAGTGGAGACAACAGGCTGAAAATAAGATTATTGGTATGGCCATCAAATATCCAAGCTCTCCGCGCCCGCCCACGTGTTCCGTTTCCGTGTCGCCCCTGCCGTAGTCAGTCATAGCGGTTCCAACCATGCGCGTTCATCGGATTCGTGACCATGTTTGCCTGTGTGTGAAGTCCATGCGCCACCCGCTGACCTCGTTTTCCCGTTGCAGTATTACGATGGAGGACGGGAAGGAGGTGCACAGCAGTCTGCGTCGAGCTGCCGGTCTCATGAAGGCCGTCCACGACCGCTACATCGGTAGGTGGCACGTGCAGGCGCATGTGACCCCGCACCTGACGCGGACTCGAGACCCCCCGTGGCCCTCCCTCGTGGTCAGCAGACTTGGGTTCGCCCCCAGATGGAGTCGAAATTGACTCAAATGGATGTTACAGGGAGCAACTCAATCGAAACCATTTCAGGATTTGATACACATTACCCTGAGTTCCAACCAGCAATGGTCACATACTGACTGAAATGTGATTGTCGAGTCAGGCGGATGGGATCCCGTGCGTTTTGAGCCGTAGAAGGACGTGGTGATCAAACACGGCCCTGTGTGGAGACGCTGCTGTCGTCGCACATTGCTACGGTAATGATCAGACACGGCCCTGTGTGGAGACGCTGCTGTCATCGCACATTGCTACGGTAATGATCAGACACGGCCCTGTGTGGAGACGCTGCTGTCATCGCACATTGCTACCGTAATGATCAGACACGACCCTGTGTGGAGACGCTGCTGTCATCGAACATTGCTACCGTAATGAACAGACACGGCCCTGTGAGGAGACGCTGCTGTCATCGAACATTGCTACCGTAATGATCAGACACGGCCCTGTGTGGGGACGCTGCTGTCATCGAACATTGCTGCCGTAATGAACAGACACGACCCTGTGAAGAGACGCTGCTGTCATCGCACATTGCTACCGTAATGAACAGACACGGCCCTGTGAGGAGACGCTGCTGTCATCGAACATTGCTACCGTAATGATCAGACACGGCCATGTGAGGAGACGCTGCTGTCATCGAACATTGCTACCGTAATGAACAGACACTGCCCTGTGAGGAGACGCTGCTGTCATCGCACATTGCTACCGTAATGAACAGACACGACCCTGTGTGGAGACGCTGCTGTCATCGAACATTGCTACCGTAATGATCAGACACGGCCCTGTGAGGAGACGCTGCTGTCATCGAACATTGCTACCGTAATGAGCAGACACCGCCCTGTGAGGAGACGCTGCTGTCATCGAACATTGCTACCGTAATGATCAGACACGGCCCTGTGAGGAGACGCTGCTGTCATCGAACATTGCTACCGTAGTGATCAGACACGGCCCTGTGTGGAGACGCTGCTGTCATCGAACATTGCTACCGTAGTGAACAGACACGACCCTGTGTGGAGACGCTGCTGTCATCGAATATTGTTACCGTAATGAACAGACACGGCCCTGTGTGGAGACGCTGCTGTCATCGAACATTGCTACCGTAATGATCAGACACGGCCCTGTGTGGAGACGCTGCTGTCATCGAACATTGCTACGGTAATGATCAGACACGGCCCTGTGTGGAGACGCTGCTGTCATCGCACATTGCTACGGTGATGAACAGACACGACCCTGTGAAGAGACGCTGCTGTCATCGCACATTGCTACCGTAATGAACAGACACGGCCCTGTGAGGAGACGCTGCCGTCATCGAACATTGCTACCGTAATGATCAGACACGGCCCTGTGAGGAGACGCTGCTGTCATCGAACATTGCTACCGTAATGAACAGACACCGCCCTGTGAGGAGACGCTGCTGTCATCACACATTGCTACCGTAATGAACAGACACGACCCCGTGTGGAAACGCTGCTGTCATCGAACATTGCTACCGTAATGATCAGACACGGCCCTGTGAGGAGACGCTGCTGTCATCGAACATTGCTACCGTAATGAACAGACACGGCCCTGTGAGGAGACGCTGCTGTCATCGAACATTGCTACCGTAATGATCAGACACGGCCCTGTGAGGAGACGCTGCTGTCATCGAACATTGCTACCGTAGTGATCAGACACGGCCCTGTGTGGAGACGCTGCTGTCATCGAACATTGCTACCGTAGTGAACAGACACGACCCTGTGTGGAGACGCTGCTGTCATCGAATATTGTTACCGTAATGAACAGACACGGCCCTGTGTGGAGACGCTGCTGTCATCGAACGTTGCTACCGTAATGATCAGACACGGCCCTGTGTGGAGACGCTGCTGTCATCGAACATTGCTACGGTAATGATCAGACACGGCCCTGTGTGGAGACGCTGCTGTCATCGCACATTGCTACGGTAATGATCAGACACGGCCCTGTGTGGAGACGCTGCTGTCATCGAACATTGCTACCGTAGTGATCAGACACAACCCGGGCTTGAGACGCTACAGTTGTCAATCATTGCTACCGTAGTGAACAGGCACGGCCCTGGCTGAAGTTGCTGCAGTCATCGGTCATTGGTACATCTGATGTGACATGTTTAATTGTGGGGAACGTGTTGGGTTTTGGGATATGACAATGTTTAGTTGCTGGTGCAAATATTTAGCCAGATATCATTTATGCCTCAGTTTATACTAGTTTATCAATACCTTAGACATTTGTCGTTAAGTGTATGAATAAATGTGCTTGAGCTGGAGATTTCATTCAAAGTCTCCGCATAATCTGGCAAGAACATCGTCAATCTGCACAGCAGCGAGATAGTCTGATCTATCAAAACAACAGTCGCTGAAAAAATCAATGAATTCAGCACATCCAATGTGCAATGCTGAATGTTCTCAACAAAGAACCATAGCTGTCATCTATCCACCCAAGCTAGTGTTCAAATTGTTGAGTCTTGCACACCAGATATTTCGAATAGTTGTGAAGCTGGCGACAAAACGTAACGCCTCGAGGACTATGATTCTGGCAGACTTTTTACCATTTTAAGCATTTTAAAAAGCCTTAAGCTTAAAGCCTTTAAAAAGTTTTTTTCTTCACTTTTTTACACCTCTCAGTGGGTGATCAGACCTGGCGCCCGAATGGTGAAGCCTTTCCTCCTCACTACCACAGTCGCCACCAGTGGTCACACGCTGGCCGCTCCCTCCTCAGCTGTCCCGGCGTGAGGAGTCACTGCCGGTCGGTCGGTCGCCGGTGTCAACTGGCCGTTCCCTCCTCAGCTGCTCCGGCGTGAGGAGTCACTGCCGCTCGGTCGGTCGCCGGTGTCAACTGGCCGTTCCCTCCTCAGCTGTTCCGGCGAGAGGAGTCAATGCCGCTCGGTCGCCGGTGTCAACTGGCCGTTCCCTCCTCAGCTGCTCCGGCGTGAGGAGTCACTGCCGCTCGGTCGGTCGCCGGTGTCAACTGGCCGTTCCCTCCTCAGCTGTTCCGGCGAGAGGAGTCAATGCCGCTCGGTCGCCGGTGTCAACTGGCCGTTCCCTCCTCAGCTGTTCCGGCGTGAGGAGTCACTGCCGCTCGGTCGGTCGCCGGTGTCAACTGGCCGTTCCCTCCTCAGCTGTTCCGGCGAGAGGAGTCAATGCCGCTCGGTCGCCGTTGTCAACTGGCCGTTCCCTCCTCAGCTGTTCCGGCGAGAGGAGTCAATGCCGCTCGGTCGCCGGTGTCAACTGGCCGTTCCCTCCTCAGCTGTTCCGGCGGGAGGAGTCAATGCCGCTCGGTCGCCGGTGTCAACTGGCCGTTCCCTCCTCAGCTGCTCCGGCGTGAGGAGTCACTGCCGGTTAGTCGGTCGCCGGTGTCAACTGGCCGTTCCCTCCTCAGCTGCCCCGGCGGGAGGAGTCAATGCCGCTCAGTCGCTGGTGTCAACTGGCCGTTCCCTCCTCAGCTGCCCCGGCGGGAGGAGTCAATGCCGCTCGGTCGCCGGTGTCAACTGGCCGTTCCCTCCTCAGCTGTTCCGGCGAGAGGAGTCAATGTCGCTCGGTCGCCGGTGTCAACTGGCCGTTCCCTCCTCAGCTACCCCGTCGAGATTAGTCACTGCCGCTCGGCCGCCGGTGTCACGCCCCTCCCGCTCACGCGTCTGCATCAGCTGACCCTCTGCTGACAGGTCAGCTGCTAGAGGAGAGTGTCAAGGAGGGAGACTGTGACACTCGGGTCATCACTGCCTACATGAACCAGTGCACCGCGGAGGCCCAGGAAGGTGAGGCGTCGCAGCTAGAGATCAGATATGAGCGAATGAATGAAAGAATGAATGAATGTTGATTTCACTAGTGCGTTATTGAAAGCGTGCCCGGAAGGCGATCAAATGCATGCGTAGGTGTGTAATTGAGCGGCGCTTCATATGTAGTGGTATTTGGTACCTCATTGCCTGAAGAGGGGGTGGATGGGTTAATAATAGAATCTGTGAGGGATCATTGAAGCACGACTCCGCATATGTTCGTGAGAGCGACACCAGTACGCAGGGATGCAAACATTTGAAGACATCGGGGAAGAAGGCGAAAATGGAAAAGGGAGAGGAGAAAGACCAGACATAATGGCACATTTTCGTGTAGATGGAGCAGATAATGTGGTGATGCTCGCGCACGCGTGCACGCACCCGCTGAGTCCGCGGCGCGCGTTTTTCAGTGACGATCGCGCGCGCCATCGAGCTGAAGCACTCACCTGGTCTGGTGTCGGCCCTGGCGCACGAGACGTCGGGCATGTTCCAGACGGCCGCCGACAGCCTGCGCTCGATGGAGCCAGCGCTCGTCCAGCGCTGGACCAAGTACCTCCAGCTCAAGGCGGCCGTCTACAAAGCCTATGTGAGTGCGGCGGCGGCGCCGGCGGCGGGGCCTGGTGGCGGGGCCTGGTGGCGGGCTCGTTTGGGGTGTTTCAGGCCGGTGGTGAAGTGCGGGTCTTGTGGCCAAACGGACAACAAGGGGAATATGGGCAGATGCCTGTACCTAGCTTTGCGTTTTCGTCTAAACGCATTCGAACGCATTTTACCTCATCACATTCATACTCCGTAAAAATGGGAAGACGGGTCATGGACAGCATGTGAATCCCTACCTTAGTGCGGCGACAATTATATGAATGTCTGTATGTGAGTAACCGTTAATAAAAGGCATGCGTACCCTAGGCAATGCTGAGAAACCACCATGCATCGACTGTCACTGGCGTATCGCTCTTTTTGACGTGACTTCCAAATCTGGACCAACTAGTTTTGTGCTCATATGCATCCATGGATTAGTGCTCGGAATGGACGGACGTCATACGCGTTTTTTTGGTGGTCTTCAAATGCATGGTTTGGCATTTTCGTCTGATTTATGTTTCTTCTGCGAACGCAACGCGGACCCATACTCTCCTGCGCTTTCAGGCGTACAACTACCTGGGCGAGAACTTCCTGGCTGATGACAAGTGTGGAGAAGCCATTCGGTGCCTGAAGGAGAGTCAGAAGTGTACGTACCCCTGAATACCGGACATTGTAACTTCCCCTGAAGGAGAGTCAGAAGTGTACATACCCCTGAATACCGGGCATTGTAACTTCCCCTGAAGGAGAGTCAGAAGCGTACGTACCCCTGAGTACCGGGCATTGTAACTTCCCCGGAAGGAGAGTCAGGCGTGTACGTACCCCTGAGTACCGGACATTGTAACTTCCGTCAGGTACTGGCACACGCCACTTCCTTCATGTCGGCTTGGCGTTTCGGTCTTGAGCCTTGATGATGGAAGTCAGGGTGATGAATATGCAACGCGCGACGACAGTCGAAGAGCAGATCGGCTCCTTACGCTTTCAGCGCTGACTTGTGCCATGACGTCTGGCTAGTTGCTACATGAGTCGGCGTAGGGACATCTCTAGAATTTAACGCCTGGGTCTGGGGGTCCGAGTGGGTGGTCTTTGGGAGTGGGCGAACTGATGATTTATGAGACGATGCTACCGAAATAATCGGGTGCTGGGGCCATGTAAGGCCCTAGGTGCGTAGGTGTGGCCTCTCGTCCCTCCCGTTGTCTGCTCGTGATACCATGGGCTGTGGATACGAAAGCCAGTGCTTCGTTCTGGGCTCCGTGCGGTCAGATTATTTTTATTTGATCTGGTCAGATTAATCCAGTCCAGATAGCGGTGTGGGTATGCCACTGCTGCATTTGCACGTTCCGGTTCATAACAGACTTTGGTAGCGATGAGTAGGTATTGTAAATGCGTGGTCGGCTGGGTTATGAAGCAGCATACCACTGGGCTTCGAGCTGGACCATGCAGCTCGTCCGACAGCTGTTACCCTTGTGAGCTCGCGCTGAACCCCGTTTCAGTTTATACCGAGGCCGGGGAGCTGTGCAAGGAGTACGCGGACGCCAAGGGCGTCGGCGCCAAGGTGAAGCCCGAGAAGCACCTCTTCTTCAGAAAGCTGGGACCGATCCTGAACAGGACCCTGGAGAAATGCGAACGCGAAAATGGATTCATGTAAGCGGGGGAGCCAGGCTGGAGTTTGACCGTGTTTTGCGGTAGGGCCGTACCATACTCTTCCGCTGTGAAGTGTTTATGCCCCCCCCCCCCCCCCCCCGGCGTGTAACTAGCAACGGGCTATAACAATGTACGCATTAGGTATCGGGAGGAGCACAGTAAATGGCTAGAACTTCCATTTCGTGATAACTGTCGTGACACAAACAAGAAACCGTATTTATTGATGTCTTTTAAGCGTAATCCCAGAGCATGGCGGGAACCTGACTGGGCAAAGAGTATTTCTTGGCAGCTTTAGCCAGTTGGACGGGTTAAAAGTCATCACGTAGATTGCCGGCCTTCCGCATCATCACGATAGCACCACGCTGCTGGCGATGCGATGCACACTGACAGTCAAGGGCCTTCGGATGCCCCTCTCCATGCTGAACATGGGCCCTGGGAAACATCCGTTCTCCAAACCCACCTTCGGGGTCGTGTCACGAGGCAAATGTGTAAGCGGCCTGCTGGCTCCCGTCAGCTTTGTCTCCGCCTCCCCTACCCCTGACCCCGGGCGTCGTCTCGGCCCGCCTCCGCCAGTTACCACCAGAAGGTGCCGTACGACGCGCCGGCACTGGAGCTGCGCGACAACACATACGGCCTGGTGGCGCCCGACGAGTTCGCCATGCCGGCGCCGGCGCCGCTCTGGACGGCCGTCAGCTACGCCGCCTTCGATGTCAGCAAGCTGGGTGACGCCGGCCCGTCGGTGAGCAGAGGGGCACGGGGCCGTCGGTGAGGGGAAGGAAGGGACCGGCCCGTAGGTGAGCACAGGGAGGGGGCCGTCTGTGAGGAGAGGGGAGGGGAGGAACCGGCCCATCGGCGAGCACAGGGGAGGGGCCGTCTGTAAGGGGAGGGGAGGGACCGGCCCGTCAGTAAGCAGAGAGGCACTGTGCCGTCGATGAGGGAAGGGGAAGGACCGGCCCGTCGGTGAGCAGAGAGGCACTGTGCCGTCGATGAGGGGAGGGGAGGGACCGGCCCGTCAGTAAGCAGAGGCACTGTGCCGTCGATGAGGGGAGGGGAGGGACCGGCCCGTCGGTAAGCAGAGAGGCACTGTGCCGTCGATGAGGGCAGGGGAGGGACCGGTCCGTCAGTAAGCAGAGAGGCACTGTGCCGTCGATGAGGGGAGGGGAGGGACCGGCCCGTCGGTGAGCACAGGGGGAGGGGACCGTCGGTGAGGGGAGAGGAGGGTTTGGCCCCTCGGTGAGCACAAGGGGAGGGGGCCTTCGGTGAGGGGAGGAACCGGCCCGGCGGTGAGGGACCGGCCCGTCGGTGAAGAAAGGGGAGAGGGGGGCCAGCCCGCGGTGAGCACAAGGGGAGGGGGCTGTCGGTGAGGGGAGGGACCGGCCGTCGGTGAGGGGAGGGAAGGGACGGACTCGGTGACAGGACAGGCGCTCGCTGGGGCCGCCGCGGCGCCGTCTGCTGCGAACAGGCCGTACTGGTTGAGAGCCAACCCCAACATCGTGTGCGTGTGTGTGCTTGACTGTTTAGCCGTACGTTGTGTAGTGCGGGGGTTTACGTGTGCTTATGTTGCTGCGGGACATTTACGTCAGCACCGTGTTATGCACTCCGCTAATATTTTTATTCGCAGTGCGTAGTCGGCTGCGGTAATGACAGACCGTCGTTTTATTAGGGAGGTAGTGATTTTTTGTATTGCCTGCCATGGTATGGAACAAATATAGCCGTGGCGGTGGCGGCGACTGGAGGTAGTGGCAATACGCGTTTTGGTGCGTATTTTGAAAGGGTAATGATAGCCATCGTGTGGTGTCTTGTGGGCTATTGAGAACACGCCCGGCCGGTTGCAGAAGGCAGCGGAGAAGGCGGAGGGAGACCTGCCACCTGTCAAAGAGGTCAAGGACAACCACACGGACCAGGATCCGAAGAACCACAGCGGCTGCGTGGTGGCCTAGGCGGCGCCAGGGTGGCGGCGGCCCCGGCTGTCGGGCTCACGGTTTAGCTGAGCGCTATCGGTCGAGGGCTGCGCCGTCAGCTGGCGCCTGCGGGCGAGCCAGCCCCGCTGTGGATGACCGGAGGGACCCGTCACACCACCAGAGCACCGCTGGGCAGCACTTGTGTGGTTGACCTGGGGTGTGAAGCCCCGCTCGTAAGCCAGCCCCGCTGTGGATGACCGGAGGGACCCGTCACACCACCAGCGCACCGCTGGGCAGCACTTGTGTGGTTGACCTGGGGTGTGAAGCCCCGCTCGTAAGCCAGCCCCGCTGTGGATGACCGGAGGGACCCGTCACACCACCAGAGCACCGCTGGGCAGCACCTGTGTGGTTGATTGCGCGTGTGAAGCCCCGCTCGTAAGCCCACAGCGGCCCGAGGGTCATATGAACACTGCATTTAGGCGTGGGGCTACACTGTTCTGGCAACAAACCATTACTTCAGCACTATATGGTCGCACGGGGTATATGCTGTCCGATTTTCGTGACTGGTGGTGCCTGGGTGTTTGTTACAGAACGGTATTGTAGGTTGCCCAGGCATTGAATCCAAGCAACAGCCAGTGTCTTCAAACGTGATCGTAACTTGCGCTCTTCTTCAAATCGTATTTGAGATGCGTTTGGACGGAACCTACTTTCTTTCTATGATTCGTCAAAATCGTTAAGGATGTAAGTATAGAAATGTGGAGGAAAATTAACCTGTTTCTGGCCCAAACGCTTGTATGGAGCGATTTCAAAGGATGAAACTTGTACTTCCGCGTTATGAAAGTCGGTGCCCTGTATAAAAGCCGGTGTTGAAAATAATGAAGCATGGTTTGTTTTGTATATATGACAACTTCGCCGCATGGGAGCTGTGTGATTCGCATGGTGCTGTAGTATTAAAGCTTTATTTTTAGTATTTGCGCATTACGAACTTTTGGTTCTCAGTAGATAGTATCAATTTTCGTAGTTACGCGCGGTTCATGCAACCTTGTCAGTTTAAGTGTCAGTTTAAGTTCTCACAGGACAGGCATAATTATAGTCATTCTACTGACGGCGCTTACTGTCTTCAGTGTGCTTCTCCAGGCCTTCGGAGAATGCACTTATGCATGGCTTAGTTTTTGTGGCACATCCTTTCCAAGAAAGGTGCGAATGATATGTGTGAACGGCATCGCCCCGTAGCTTTTGGGCGGTGAATACAGGACACAGCTGGGCGAAGTGAGGGATCATGCTCACCGTGACGTGGCATGGCCGTAGAGTATGAGCGTGTCTCGATGTTTCAGCGTAGCCTGCCTTAGACGTTGACGGCTTTGTCGCACGAGCGTCATGTTTCGCTAGTCTGATTGCAAGTGTGATGATTGTGGACTGTCTTTGTTGTGCGTCCACGTTTGACTTTTCACCAGCAGATCTTGTAACCTAGCCATTCCGTCGAAGGAGTAGCGTCCGTATTGACGTGGCGTTTAGGTACGGCCGCGGATGCTGGTAATTCTGATGCTTCCGCGTACGGACGCTGGTCTGCCCACGTGGTGGGCGTGCGCACCTCGAGCAGCGCAACATGTTGCTGGCTGTAGAAACTCATAGCATCTTGATTTATGCGCACCGTTGGAAAAAAGCAAGGCCGGGATGGTGCTTGTAGACTATGTTATGCGACAGCGCTACTAACAAAGTGGGTCACGCAGCCTGCGCCTCATTACGCACGTGCGTGTCGGCTCTGCGGGCCGGGCCGGCGGTGCCTGCTTGACGCGTGTGTGATGCGACAACACGAGCCGCCAGCCGGCCGACCCTCATGCCTTGTAATACATGCGCCTTACGACCGAGCGCATGCTGCGTGCGAGAAGACGTGTGTTGTGTCGCTGGGTGAGAAGCGTGCTGTTAATTGTGTGATCCGCTGCTGAGGGTGGTGGAACTCTGGAACGCCTCTAAGACGCCTCACAATGTCATCTGTGGGGAATTGAAAAGCAAAGTAACACAGTTTATAGGGTATCATGCTCCGCGATTAAATGACAACCATTGAGCGGCTGTTCTGTCAACCACTTAACAGTCATTACATGCGTGGTTCACCGGGAGACAATGACGGGAAAGGTCGATGAAAAGGTTTATGTACACCATTATATATACACACATATATATATATATATATATATATATATATATATATATATATATATATGCCACAGTTTTAGCCATCTAGTGAAACCATTTCGGTTTGCGGAAACTCCAGCGTAATGTCTTTCGCGCGTCAATCGAAAATTGATCGGGGATGGGGGGGGGGGGGGGGAGGAAATGGTGTCGGTTGGCCTCGTGCCGCGTTAAGGGAATAGGCCCATACTCTGTGTAGGGCAGTCAAATCAGGCTTACGACGCTTAGTACAGGTCTCCACAAAGGTAGTTGTGTGTACTAGGGTTCATAACGAACCCAAGTGTACTCTCACTGGCAGTGTAGCTTTAAGACTGCACAGGCATTGAGGCTTACTGTTTCTGAACATTCTATCGGTGGTTGCCATACTTTTGCTTCCAGTTCCCAAGAATTGAGAAAAGCAGCACAGGATTTGCGCCGGCGTCACCTAGAGTGCCACTTGTGGGTGGCTCTGTTGCTCGCGGCCGCGCTCAGCCAATGGGTAAAGGGGACTGGAGAGGCACGTATGGAGGCCGCAGGGTGTTTCATTCGAAACGTCAATTCTAGAGAAAGACTGAAGTGGGTAGGAACGAATTTATTAATGTGCTTTACATTGCAGATGTTGGAGGATTTGGACATTTTTACTTCAAGACTGTGTTCAGTTGCGTAACGAAACGCTCCTCGACGACCCCCTGAACACAAACGCACTTATCCAAAATTCGGAATGATTCATACAGTTCATACTTGCTGATCGTCTCGCAAATGACGTATGCCGTCGAGCATGGGGAGAAGAGGGCTGCATCTCCAGAGCCCGGACCAACGGTGGTGTGAAGGACAACAATATAAATGTCTGGTAATTCTCAGCAATACTTTCCAGACAGTGCGTGCTTGGTCAGTTTTGGACATCGCTTTGTGCAGTTTTATAAGTCCCAATTCAGGTGAAACACCCCGTGGTATAGCACTCGTAAGCGTACTCGCTCGGTGATAGTCGATGGGGCTTCGGGTAGGCCTCGAAGCAGGTTGCGCGCGGTCTCGTGGGGACGCGCCGGGACGACCCGGCGGGCGGCCGCTGGCGGGCCCGGATCAGATGCCCGGCTGCGGAGCACGGCCGCTCGTCCGCGTAGAGGCGCGCTCTCATCCAGGTGGCTGATAAGCATCCTGCTGTAGACACCCGGGTCAGGATTGGCAGCTCTTACGATAACCGCCCGTGGCCCGCCGGTTGTCTAGTTGTGAATGCTGCACGCCATCAGGATCTAAGTCGATTCGCAGTTGTTGAAAAAAGTGAAGGTGGGCGCAGGTCCCCTTTTCCAAAAAAATTCCGTTTTGCACTCCGCTATCTGGTGTAGGGACGAAAGCAAACGTGAGTCGAAGAGAGGGACAGACCGTTGACCAAGGAAGCCTATCAAACGGCCTTCGGAGTGACATCCAGCCCAGCTGGGCTGCCCCGGCCAAGCCCGTGATGCTCTTTTCAGCCAATGCGGTTGTGATTGTACGTCGCGCTTGGACGTTCTCGTCAGCCTAAACCATATCCCATGTCTGAAAACGCCAAACACTACAGCTATGTTCCCTCACTTATTTTCACCGGACTGGAGCGGTTTTCCCGTGCATCATGACATGGCAGCGCGGTAAGCATTGTTTGGCAATTTGCTCCCGAACTGAGCTAAAGCAAACAGTTTCCAGGTAAAAGCATAAATAGCTAAGTGTCCACAAACTGTTAAATATAGCTGACTCTCACGGGCGTCGATTTGTATGCATGCAAATAAAACAACTCGTAAAAGCGTGCTTTTGTGTGGGCCCTACCCCCCCCCCCTCCCCGACTATGAGGATCCCCCAATGCTGGCTTGGGTCCTCCCCAAATATTTTTTTGGCTGCAATATTACAAAAGCGTAGGAAGAAGTTAACCACATATTAAATAAAGCTGACCACATTGGTCTTTCCGCGTACTGACATCCCTATCTTATCCTTTCAATCCTTTCGCCTAATGCCACTTGAATGTGAATTCCGCTCAAACGCCGCTGGCAGGCTCATATTCATTTATGTATCATCTTAGGCACAGTCCGAACCCAGCCCATGGATGGATGTCTGGAACCAGAGCCCACGCTAGATAGTGCCTATTGTTTGAGCCCCGACAGCCACCATCAAATTGTGAAATTCCAGGGCGGGGGCAGAATTTCGCGACAGAAGTGTAATGTGCCGCAACACCAGGCTCGGCCGGTCCTGCCCTCTGATGTCACCTGATCTTAAGTGAAGTCGCTGTCACCAGCCGCAGGCCATCACAGTCGGGGGGAAATGGCGATCGCACAATGCGACTCACCCATCCCGCCACGGGTGAGTGAATACGAATACAGGTACTCTAACTAAGCTACGGGGATCTACCGGATCTTTCTATCATAAGTCATAACGCGACAATATTTATCACCAGCATCAACGTTTTAATGCGATATATTTATGGAAAGTTACCGAATCACATATTACCGGAACGCACCACGCACTTATTTGTCTGAATATCCCGCGACAATGTTGCATGCGTTTGTTTTCCCTGCAAAATAGCGTGTACAATCTGGAAATAAACAAATAGTTACCACTCGGGTCTGAACCGATACGCTAAACAGGCTAGGCGTTCGGCCAGCGCATATCTGAAGCCACAGCGGGCGACCGTACACCTGCTCTCGCCGAGAACCATGTTGTCACCACCACCTGGAGTGTTTCACCAACCGTTAACACCCGTCTGTATCTGCAATCCCCTTGTTGCATCAGTATCTGACAATAGGATCGGAAACATTCGGACTGCAACCGGTGGCGTTGGTCGTTTTGCCCAGCCAGGCGTCACGCCATCCTGTGTGAGATTCAAAATCGGCCAGAACCGTGGCGGCGCAGTCAAGTTGCTCTGGGCCTTGAGCCTTACAAACCGCTATTTCGAAGCACATGACTTGATATTAATCCCACTGCGGTGCGATTGCGACGCTTATTGCCTCTGCGCCTGTGCATGCACGTCGATAGCACCAGCATTCAAAGATATGGCAGAGGTTGACCACCGAGCAGTGATCGGAGTAACGGAGTTGGAGCGCTTCGGAGTAAGCGCTACTGAGAACTGGGAGCTGGCTGGCCCAGGACTGGTAACATATTTCAATATAGTCAGCGTCAGCTAACATTGCTTGTTACTGGCCCGGGCGCGAAACGACCACTGCTGCCGACGCGCCCTAAGGTCGGATAATAACGAAGTGTCATTACCAGCTGAGGACCACTTCTGCACCATCAGTCAGTAAGAACTTTGGAAGTGGCGAGGGTAACAGCCTATCACCAACAATTATTCATCCACAGAAAACGCGCGCACTTTTTGTTTTCATGAACATGTCTGATTTTCTGATGGTCTTTCGTTGGTCATACCACCACTACTAATGTGGTAGCGGCCGGCGGCGCCGTCGCTTCACGACCTTGAATGTTTGGCATCCCAACCGATTTAGGATAATTTTCTCAGGATTATTTTTAAAAAGCTTCGGTGACATCGGTAGATCAAAGTTGTCCTAATCACATATTGGGGAAGTGAAGCGTTAGTAAAGATGAGATGAAAAGCAGTGCCCATGCGAAGAAACATGGTGCAAACATTTTTTTATGCATGACACTGCGATGTGAAACATTGTGTATTCCACGAAATGCACTGCAAAGGTGGATGCAGGCACCAAAACTACTGCACGGGTGGTTGCCAAGATAAAAAATTGGGAACATCAAATTTGGCGCAGGAGTTTTCCGAATGCGTTATTTTGTCAACAAAAACTTTTGCTCACCACGTTTATATGCAAATATTCGTGACACGAATTACCTCGAATTAGTTTTGCGTACTAATTATAGCGAAACCAGCACCTTCGGCTTCAGATTTAAATTACTCTTCGTTTGTACAAATTCCGTTATTACAAATTGTAATTGACTACTTCACGTTGCATTCAGAAATCTAGCATTTACAACATAGCAGACAACATAGTGTCGTCATGGTTACGAGAAAAAATGGAATTCAGGTAACTGCTGCATGATGACCTGCAGCGTTAATTTGTGTTCGGTTGCGTGCGCGAGTGATGATCTGAGCGGCACAAATCCGGTGAAGCCTTTGGTGGTTATTGCAAGCGAGATTCCGTGATACAGGCCGGAGTTATCTTCAAATTATGTACCCCATTATTTCACTTCACGTGAAATTTGTTCAGATTGCAAAAATTAAAACCTTCTTATGACCGAAGTGCTTGCATGCAAATGCATTAACACATTGCAACACATCTTCTAACCATCTGTGTCCCTTTCCCTAAGAACTGCACGGATTCCCAATTATTGCTTGCATCATATCAGTTGATGTTGTAGGTCAATGGCAGCCTCAGACCTAACAAACTGCTCCGTGCTCTTGCTGAATTTTTCTTGCGCTCTGAGGAAGGTTATTTGACCAACGTCCTTACCCAAAACGAACATGCGGAGACAAAAATCATTTTGTAGCATAACGAACACTGCTCCTATCGGATGTTCTCCAAGTATCCGCAGACGATGTCAACTTTATCCTCCATCCTCAGCTCCAACCGCCTTAACCTAATGACAAGTTTCGCGTTCTCAACACCGCATGCGTTGTTCAGGGTTGGGTGTTTGCCAGGACCGGTGAGGCACGCTATGCCACGCAGGCCCTCAGAGCATGCCAATTCCAGGAAGCGGCTCCCTCCCGTTAGCCTCTGCACGGGGCTCCATTCACGCCACGTGCCGAATACGGACGTTATCAGTGAGGCAAGCAGGAGGAGCTAGCCCGGTGTGGGAACGATGGTGATGCTGAACAAACCATCCAATGCCCTGATCATGCCCATTTCGATTTGTACAGTTTTCCCATCACAGTCAGATCGAAGAACAACACAAAAAACAACAAACAAAAAA